TTTTTTTTTTTTTTTTTTGATAAAATCAAAAGTAAATTGGAACGTAGATAACTTAAATGTGTTTTCTTAGGTTATGGTGAAAATTTTAAAGGCTATAGACTAAAAGTGAAAAAGGCTATAGGGTAATTGTTAGAAGAGATATTATTTTTAATAAATCTATTATGCCATGTTTGGAAGGAAATGAAAATAAATTGATTGAAAAATATATTCAAATTGAGGTGGAGTCTCCTCAAAATGAAGGATAAACTCCAGTACCTGTAGTTGATAAATCTGATCTTGATAAAAATGCTATTTTAACATAAAATGAAATCAATCAAAAAACTGATTTTAAAATCAATTTAATCCTGCAACTCTTCATCTTGATAAATATTAACTCACAAGAGATAAGGAGATAATGCAGATCAAACACCCTACAAGGTTTGATTGTGATAATTATTGTGTTTCATCGTTGATGAGCATAACTCCTATGATGATGCTATTAACTGCAAATATGATAAAAATTGGAAAGTTGTCATGAAAGATAAAATATCTTCACTTCTTAAAAATAAAACCTCGGAATTATTTCAAAGACCTAGAGACTATAAACTAATTGATTCTAAGTGAATTTACAAGATAAAAGAAGGTGAAGAGGAAAATAAAAGTATTAGATATAAAGTTGGACTTGTAGCTAAAAGGTTCACACAAAAGGAAGGTGTTGACTATACTGAAATTTTTTCCCCCATAGTTAAATATATCACTATTAGATGCATTCTTGCTCTTGTTGTTCAATTTTAATGTGAATTTAAACAATTAGATGTAAAAACTGTTTTTCTCTATGTAGATTTAGATGAAAAAATTTATATCAGACAATATGTTGGTTTTATTAAAGGGGAATTTGAAATTATTGTTTGTTTATTAAAGAAATCTCTTTATGGATTAAAACAATCCCCAAGGTAATGGTACAAAAGGTTTGACAGTTTTGTTTTGAAACATGGTTTTCAAATAAGCAACAATGATACTTTCCTCAACTACAAAGGTAAATGAGGTAAAAACTCTCTGTATTTAGTACTTTATGTTGATGGTATATATGTTACTTGCTAGTTATGATAAGTCTGAAATTGATGATATCAAACAGAAATTGAATTATGAATTTGATACGAAGGATCTTGGTTCTGCAAAAAAGATCATTGGCATGCAGATTCTAATGAATAAAGAAAAAGATCTGTTATTTTTTAATCAACATGATTATGTGGTTAAAATTTTGAAAAAAATTCAATATGTTTGACTGTAAATTTGTTACATTACCTCTTTCAAACCATTTTAAACTTCCATCTAGTTATGTCCTAAAATAGATGAAGAATTTGCTAGAATGTTTAGAATTTCATATGCAAATGTGATTGAATCTGTTGTGTATTTAATGTATGTACAAAATCTGACCTTGCTCATAGTGTTAGCATACTTTGTAGATTCACGATTAATTTTGGGGAAGAATATTGGAATGCTTTAAAATGGCTTCCAAGATATGTGAAAGGAACTTTAGAGTTTGGTCTTGTGTTTAAAATGAATAAATACGAGATAACTTTGAAGGATTTTACTGATTTTGACTTTGCAGGAGATATAGACAATATGAAATTTGCATCAGCTTATTTCTTTACTCCGTGTGATACTGTAATTGGTTGGAAATCTCAACTTAAAAGTGTTGTGGCTTTGACTTCAACTGAAGCAGATTACATTGTTGCTTCTAATGTTATTAAAGAAGGTATTTGGTTAAGTTTGTTGTTGAGTGAACTTGGTTTTGCTTATGAAAATGCAATATTGTACTCTGACAACAAAGTGCTATACTTCATTGTAAAAATCTCATTTTTCATGATATATAGGACTAAACACATAGACATTAAATATCATTTTATTAAATATATTATTTCAAAAGGAATTCTGAATATTGGTAAGGTTTCTACACAATTTAATCCTTCAGATATGAGAAATAAAATAATACCTTTAAACAAATTTCGTAATTGTTTGAAGTTATTATCTATTGATATTTTGTAATGAATAAACAGGCACTTAGATCAAATTAAATTAATGCTGATATTGCTCTTGGCTGCACTTTTGGTCCCAAATTTCTAGTAACAAAATGGAGATTGTTAATGCTCAAACCAGTGATCTGTGATATGCTCCCAAAAATTTGGTTAAAGCCGCATTACTGGAAATGCAACTTTCGTAAGTTGAGACGTTTCTACATGATGGCAACACATGTCCTTATTATGGCCCTTCATTTGGCCTTTTTGCTGTGTATGTGTGTGTGTATATATATATATATATATATATATATAAGTCGTTTCTTCCTCTTCTTCTAACCGTTAGTTTGAGAGCTAGATGCCTTTTCTTTCGAAGGATAGGGTTTTTGATATATGGTTTTATTCTCTCTTGAAAAGCTCATTCGAGACTGAGATATGTATTTTTAGCATCTAAAATCTATATATTCTAAGTGATTACTATAAGAATGAGAGGATTCTTAGAGTTGTAGTTTCAGTAGGCGTGTTGAAGTTTTTGGAGCGATTCTTCATAGATCTGTAGTTTATTTTTGAAGAGATAAGTGTTTTGTATCTTTCTCTTGTATGGGAAGAACCTATCTGCAATCATGTTACCATTTTTGGGCTATTAGTACAACTGAGCATATATCCAATTTATTAAATGTTCAACGGGAGATGTTGGTGCTAGATGTGGTGGCCGAACCTTCAGAATTTGAGTCGAAAGAAATTGCTTGTGTTCAATCTTTTATTTTCTGCAAATTTACTTTATGTTGATTGTGATTATTCGAAATCTTGTTTTAATTTCTTATATTAGTTTCAGCTTAAGGAACTTAAACTAAAATTATCTCTATGAAAACTCGTACTCAGCTGTAACTCCTAAAATCAATTAATTGAAATTGGTACAAGGAGAAAGCGTCGAGTACAAGATTTTTTTTTACAGATATGTTACCGACGCTGACATGATGAAATGTGATTCACCTTTTTTTTTTTTTTCCATCTTCCAATAAATGCAAGCCAATTGTTGTCTATAAATATTTTTTGTCAAAATTATCTGTACTTAATAGTATGATAATCTATTGTTACTCCAAGAGTTGACTAATTCCTTGATTGAAGCCACTAAGTGTAGCTGATCAGTTACAATTGATTTAAGCTCTAGTAAGTTAAATATTATCGATTCTTTACCAATTAGCCACATAATTATTTACCTAATTCCTTGAGTCCCTTTTTTTCTCTATGCAATTTTGTGATTGTATCACAAATTAGAGTTCAACAATCTTATTGTCGAACTCATAAGATTGGATTAAATTGATCGATAGAAAAATATTTATGGTAAAGATCATTCCTTATCAATTAGAAATACCTTAAGTGTCGCGAATATGCGTTCATTAATTAATTCACCTAGTAACTAGATGTTGATTATATAATTTATTTGACTATTTGTTAGTTCTAAAAAATCATATTAATTGTAAAAGTCCAAAACTCGCTCAAGATTGAGGTTTGCAAGGTAGTTATCGCAATAAGATTTTTTTGTAAATAATCTGCATACTGCAACCTTTCGAATTCGAAATTTCAATACCCTAGTTGCTTCAAGACTGGAAATTGTCGATCTTATCTTCAAGCAATTTTGTCAATATTTTTTTATCAATTGTTATTTATCATAGGTGAACTGGGACCATTTCCAGTCTTATTCTTTGAATTTCCTTATCCTATTATATTATTTCAACAATATTAATGTTGAACAACACTACTTGTGCACCACACTTCTACAGCAAATTTAAGAGCTTGATCACGGGCAGAAGACAACACGGTAGTTGGTACCAGCAGAGCAAGTGAACAGGCTTGTCTGATCGTCCAGCGGGTAGCTATAGGTATCCGGGCACCTATCCTTAAAGAACCTCGAAAATGTTGTCGGGCCACAAGTTCCAGGTCCTTCAGTGCAACAATATTCGTTGATGTTAAAAACTGTGCACGGGTTGTTACAGCCGCCAGGACTATGTAGTTCGTCAGGACATTGTTCCACGATAGGGCCATTGCATATCACACGGCGACAGCCATTGTCGGTGGGGCTCAACTCCATTGGGATGTTAAATCCGTCAACAATCGAGATATCGAAGAAGTCCATGTTATTAGGCTGATTAAGGGCAAATTCAGCTAGGGTATTAGGAGGTCTACCAAAACCTTGGCATTCGAGTAGCCCATTGCAGTCTCCCGTTTCACATTGGCAGCGACCATTTGCGTCGAAGGTACAATTAGTACGTCCCCAGATTCTGGCCTGGGTAGTGCCTGGGGCAATGCTAATACTCCATGATTGGCCTTGGTCGAGTCTTCGACCACCACCGGGCGAGGCAGCTGCCCAGACAGTGTAGTTACATTGGTTTACAATGTCAAAAGTAGCAGCATGGGTATAGGCAAAGAATGTGATTGCCAAAAGGGACACTGTAAGGGGCAGATTTTCAGGGAAATTCATGTTTGCTGCAATCGTGCTATGTCAGTGTTTTTCTTTCTTTATTTAACGAATTCTTGTAGATGGGGGTTTATATAGATAATGGCTGCCTTGATTTTGCGTGTTCATAGTGATTAATCATCTTGAATTTTGCTTAGACAATTCCATGATATTAATCTTAATTTTTGTGTCAATTTTCCTTTGCAAAGTCAAGATTTTATTAAAATCTCCATGATCTAAAATTTGTTAGGCACAATAATTGATAGTTTATATCACTATATTCCGATATCAAGCATTGTAAAAGAAAGTGTAATGGAAGTTTTTGATGACGGTTTTAACTATTGTCAAAATCTGTTGTATATAATGATATAATCGTCGTGAAAATTGACATTTTACTTAAAAATCGTGATATTTACGTTAAAGGGTTCTCAAGATGGTTTGCAGACGTTATGTTCTTGTTGCAGTCAAATTTTAAATAAAGGTATCGTTCTTTAATCTTCTAGATATAGTAGTTCAATACAATTTCAAAACTAGCAAATATATCATACTCCTCCGGTAACTTTATATTTATAAAATTGCACACATCCCACCTTTTTCGTACTAAAAATGAATTAGCCCTACACACCATGGGACGTACAAAGAAGAAATTCGTCTCGTTAATCAGCATCCATTGCATAGAACTAATAAAACATAGAATGTGTACGATCAAAATATGATTTGATAACATTCTGACGTTATAACTAATGCAAATTAAAGCATGACAAACTCTAGAATAATGAAAATGAGAAATCAAACTCCACCTCGACTAAATTCTAAATTCAAAAGTTCACTTCTTTTGAGCCCTTTCTTCTCGACACAAAATGTTTTTAATATTATGACCGTAAATGGATCGGATATGGACCAAACATGCCCATATCCAATCTGATCTGGTCCAATAAGAATAATTCATGAATTCAATCCGATCTGATGATCCAACGAATATTTAATTTTGGGAAAATTACATAGCTCCAGGCATATAAGATTTACTGTGCAAAGGTCAGGTCCTAATGTTTTTTAATCATAATTCAGGTATTAGGTTAATAAATAAATATTAAATCTTTCAATTATAGGTTTTAATTAAATAAATCACAGATGGCGCGTTTCCTCAAATATAGTAATTTAAATTTGAAATATATTAACTTCCATAATTAACTTAACTTCCATTATCATCTAAACC